ACACACTGGACCTAATGTCACCAGCCAAAGCCACTGAATAATGAGAGTTCTCATTTCTTCATGACAGAACTTCAAACCCTGGCTAGACATCCATGGTCCCTTAAATTGTTCTTCATTTTGATGGTTTCAGACCTTTTCCCATTTTGAATGACCTCTTCTGGGCAGAATATAATTGTTATTGCTTCTCTTCAATCATGATGCTCAGAACAAAACATAGTGGACAGTTTCTGACAACAAGACAGAATAAGGTACTAGAGCTTGCCCACCCTGCTCAGAACAAAACATAGTGGACAGTTTCTGACAAGACAGAATAAGGTACTAGAGCTTGCCCACCTATCCCAACACATACTTCAAAGACTTGTAAATGTTAAATGAAATGTAACCTAAAGGTGATATGTGACACAGTCAAGCTCAAACAACCATGCCTATAACAAAGAAAAGTATTACATCTGTGATAGTAAAACTGAGGTCACAGAGTGGTAGCTCATGGATGCTTTGGTTATGCCTGGATGCTGGGGGCTGGCTTTGATTTGCTCATTCAAGGGAAGGAGACTTTGCCTTGGGTTCATGAGATGTGGAGTTTTGCAAAAGCTCTTAATTCTGCATTAAACTGGGTCCTCTACCAGGTGTAAAGTCTATGACAAAGGGGCAAGAAAAGCCTGCACACTGGCCCTGGAAGTGATAAGAAAACCTACTAGGGCTTTGAGTAAAATGAAAAAGAAAAATTATCCTGGAGAATTTAAAACCTAAGCCCTGTGATATGCACTGGTTTGAGGCCTCAATATTTTATTGTCTGCACAGAGTGTGAACCATATGCTGAGAAATTAACACAAGGACTGGTTTAGTGCCATTGACTTTCCCAGGGCCTTAGCAGAAGCAAATGCAAAAGAATTTTGCATAGACTTTTCCCACAATCTAGGTCAGATGGGACTGTGGCAGGGAAAAAAAAAAATTAAAACATGAACAAAACCATCTGTGAAGACGAAGGCACAAAAAGTAAATTTACATTGGTAAAAGAGCAGACACAATAAGAAAATTCAAATGCCAAAAATTAAAGATAATAAAATAATGTGAAAGAAAATGAGTATGCTCAAAATGTTTAATAAGCTAGAAGAAGGAATAGAAACCATAATGAAAATAGGACAGTATGATAAAAAGAATAGGAAGATTAAAAAAATCAAATTATAAAAAACTGAGAAGTTAGTCTCTAACATTAAGTGAGTAGACAAATAGCAAAACAGAGACAGTGAAGGTAGTAAAGTTAGTGAAGTTGAAATAGCTACTAAGAAATGACCTCAAAATGCACTGAGAGATAAAAAGAAGGAAAGTATAAAAATGAGCTAAAGAGATATAAAGTAGAGAATAAGACTCTCCAGCACATATATCAATGAAAGTCTAGAAGAGAATAGTAAAGATAATGGAGAAGCACCCATCAAAAAGGTATATGAGAGTATCCCAAAACTAAAGAAAAAAGTACGTGGGCTTTATTTAAAGAAGCACAATTATATCTGAGTTGATAAATAAAAACACAGTTTGTGGTCATTACAAACTGCTACTATGAGGATGTTTCTTGGGTGTACATAGGTATCTGTCTGTCTATCCGTCTATGTCTGTCTGTCTGTATGTATATGTACATATGTACTCAGGAGTAGAATTGCTAGGTTACATCTAGACCTGGATTACTGTTTGATATGCATAGTGCCTATTTCAATATACTGTGCACAGTAGGTATTCATCCACTGTGGATTTGCAGATGTGGTGTGGGAATCTTTGAATCTACTTTTTAGATTCTCTGCCTCTGCTATAGGAACATAGCATAAGGCGCACGATTCTTGTTTAACTTTAGGATATATGAAGCGTATGTCCACAAGTCTGCAGTTCCCAGGCTTCTGTTTTCTCCATCAATGCTTGCTATTTTCACTGTTGTTACCTTGAATACTGTATAATGGAATAATGAGTTTTAACTCTTATTTCCCCTTTCCATTCTCTGTCTCTCTCTCTGTCTCTGCTGTGTCTGTCTGTCTGTCTCTCTCACACACACATGCACACACACAAACTACACACTCATACTCTTACTATTTATATATGTCTTAGGTTTGACTCTCTGCAGAGGAGGCTTCCCAAGTGTCTTCAGGGCTGAAGCTCCTTGCTCTCCCTCACTCTAACCTACTCTCTCCATTTTGGGTTCTACCCAGCAGCATATTCAGGTGTTCCCTGGGCGTAATATTGGGGAAGATGTATAGTACAGTGCAAAGAACATGATATTTGTGAAGAAGACACTTGAATTATAGTCTAGAGTCAATACTTATAAGCTGGTGGAAGTTATCTAAAATTTCTGTATTTATTTTTTTCCCAGCAATAAAATGTGGGTTAATACTATTTATCTTCATTTTTTTGGAAAAATATTTGCATGCCTAAACTGTCCCAAGGACTGTTCTAGGTGTAAAGACAGCAGTGAACAAAACCAGTAAGATACCATGTGGGGTCTCTATTGGGATTAAATAAATCAATGGCTGTAAAGTGCTTAGAATAATTGCAGAGGTCGAAGGTGTGGTTGGCAATTTTCTTGCTTAACAAATGTTTATTGACCACTTACTAATGTTCTAGTCAGTGTTGTCACCACTGGGGATATAGTGTTGAGTAAGACCAGAGGCAAAAGATGAGAAAATAAATGAGTCAGTTAATTTCATATAGTTGTATGTGTGTATGATTAATATAAATCAGAACAAAACAAAAATAACTCTGGAAATCAACAGGAAAGTTTTATTTCAGAAACTTAAATGAAGCCAGTCAACTGAACAGTAACGCTAGAGGTAAAAAGAATCAAAAAGTAATGACAGGAGTAAAAAGAGAACTTAAGCAGATCAACAAGTGATGATCAGAACCAATGCAAGATCTGCCAGATCCAGAATACAGTGCAAAGACAATAGACTTAGAAACCAGCTGGGTAATCAGCAGTAAGCAGGTACCATTGTTTCTCTCACGGGGAAGGTGGGTCGGGGGAGGTGGTAATACTGGCAAAGCCTTCATGATACGTGGGCTTCCGATAGTACAAATTCTATAACCAATGATATCTGTGGCTTTTTTTAGCCAAATCATCTGTGATTCTTTGTTTCTAGTCCAACCTCTCTCCCATTCAGGAAATTCCTACTCTTTACCTGTGATGACCTAGGATTATAGACTTCCCAAGGTTAAAGGAAACCACACAGGACATATCACTTCAGCTGCTCCTCAGAATAGGAGGTAGGACCTCAGAAAGCAGCCCTGAGAAAAGGAGGTATGCTGGAATAGGAGTTAGAAGATCAAAATTCTAGTGTCAACCCAAGTCATTATTATACTTTGCCTCAGAGGGTTGTATGTTCTCTCTTTGATTTGATTTCCTCATTTACAAATTAAGGAGAATGATCCCTATCTCTCACAGTCCTTATGGGGATTAAACAAAATGGCATGTGTGAAAGCTCTTTGAAAACCAAAAATAGTCCAGCAGTGAAAGGCATGATTAACCTAGGGGCATGAACCACAGTCAGCTCCTGGGCAAAGTGGAAAGTGTCAGGGTTGACTTCTTCCCACCTAGGGATAATTGTGAAGCCTTGGGGAAATCACCACTTCCCTGTGCTCTGGTCTCCTGACCCCCAATATGTGGCTGTTAGTCTTACTCTGAAAGGTTGTTGGGTGATTTAATGAGTCTCTCCCCAGGAGAAAACAGTGAAAGTTGTAATAGCTAAAAAGTATCTGAGTCAACTGACTGTTGTGTATCTCCAGATAACTCCAACTTCTGCAGGTTATATACTGCCTGGCTTTTTGTTGATAAAAAACAGTTCTTGTCTTTAAGTCTGGAAGGATGTTAGCACTTGAAAATTTTGACATGCAGATAAACTATATAGAACTCTTCAAGTTTTTAAAGAGAGGGTGACAATTTGAAGAAAGTTAGACGTACCATGATCCATATAATCATGTTTCTTTTAACTTCCATCCACAGCTCCCCTCTTACCTAGTCCTTTACTCACTATTTGGGCAATTTTATGTCTTAATCACATAACCCCTTATTTATAGCAACAGTAATTTTTCTCTGTCATCTTAAACTGTTTTGGGGCAACACTAGCATAATAATATAGGCTAGGTAAGGGTTATCTGCAAGATCCAGAGTAGAGTGAGAGGCAGAGCCTATTCTACAGTTGAGTTTGGGAGGTTGGAAGCGTTAATGTTGGCAAAATGGAAGGAACCAGAATAAGGAGACATGATCCTTGAATTTTGGCAGCTCTCCAGTTGATTGAGAAGAAGATACACACACACACACACACACACACACACACACACACACACACAGACATGAACATTTCTATAATTACAAACTCTGATAAGTGCTGGGGGAACAGGTTCACAAAGCACACTAGTGTACAAGAAGTGGAGGTAGAGGCTGACCTAGTTCTGCCTTTGCTCACACAGAGTCTGGGAGGTCTAGGAAAACTCCTTTGAGAAATTACTTTTGAATTTAGATATGAGTAGGAAATAACTAGGCATTGGAAGAGGGTGAGGGGAGGAGAGGTCAAGAGCTTTCCAAGCAGAGGGAACTGTTTGTATAAAAACCTTGGGCAGGAAGAAGCTTTGCACAGTAGAGGAACTGAAAGCATATCAGCAAGGCTAAGTTACAGAGCAAGTGAAACTAGGGTGAGAGATGATGTTAGAGGGTAGACCAAGGTTAGACTGTGCATAATCTTGTAGGCTATGCCAATGATTATGGTCTCTACCCTAAGAAAGCTATGTCAGGAGATTGGGCAAAAGGTTAGGGTGGTGGTGGAGGCTGACATGTAGACAAGGGTACACATTCAAGAGGTTTTCAGAACAGTAAAATGGTGAAGAGTTGCTGATGGATTGGATAAAAGGACTGAGGGAGAGGGAGATGCCAGGCTGCTGCCCAGGTTCTGACTTGCCAAACAGGGGGCCTTTTCTCACCATGATCTGAGATTCTGACCACTATGTCTCCTTGCTCTTATTTTCAGCGTGATCAGTGGGGAGCTGGCTGTCCATGTACGCTCTGGAATCTTGTCTCTATTCTTTAACACGGAGGCTCTTGTTTGGAGAGTGAATGAGTGGGGCGCCAGAGGAGACAATAAGCAGGCAGACAGGCCAGGTAGGAGGGGTGAGAAGTGGGCCCTGGGGGGTAGGATGGGGGGAAGGAGAGAGCAAGGACAATGACACGGGGAGAAGGGCTGTGGAACACTGAGATAAAAGAATCTTGGGATGTGAAAGCCCTATATCTGAGCCAACCCAGTCCAATCCTCTCAATGTACAACTGAGAAAATTAGTTTTAATGTTTGCACTTTATTATAAATGTGATACTTTCACTTGTAGAAATTTTAGAAGACATAAACAGTGAAAGCAAAATAAAATCACCCCTAGTCTTCCGCCTAGACTTCCATTACTGAGTCATTTTTCTCCTAGTTTCCATCTCAGAAATGGAGCCAAGAGCTCATCGACTATCAGGCCCGCGAACGTGCTGGTCCCAACCACCACTCCCGGCTCCGGGAGGCAGTGTGGGGGAGCACCTGAGCTAGAAGGCACTACCTCCTCTGCTTATCAGTTCTGTTTTCTTCCCTCCTTACACTTCCCTCTCTCCTGGCCTCTCACTACGCCCCTCATTCTCCATTCTCTCCCAGTCCGGCAAAGGAATTCCCTGCTCTGCTGCCTCCACATCTCTTCGTCCGCCAGCAGCAACTGGAAGCGCAGGGACTGCTCCGCGTGGCTGGGGGCGCTGCAGACCCACGCTTGGAGCAATGACTCAGACACCACCTGCTTCCTGAAACCTGGGTCCCAGGGCAAATTAAGTGAGCAGCAGTGGAAAAGCTGCAGCATATATTTCTGGTTTATCTAAGCAGCTTCACCAGGGACATGCAGGAATTCATCAAAATGCTGCACATAGACAGTGAGCTGAGGGATGGCTCCTGGGCAGCTGCTCACGGGGAGACAGTGAACGCAGAAGCCCAACTGATGGATTCTCTGCTCTCTCCACCCTCTTCCAATATCTACCTCTGCCAGAGAGGTCTCACCCTCTGACCTCTCAAAATATGTTCATCCTGCTCTGGGTCACCCACTCTCATGTCTCTGAACTCTGGGTAGTAGAATCCTCACACCAATGTCTTCCTGATGCCTTCCAATCTGTTAAACCTTTCTTTGATCTCTTTCTATTCCTCCTCTCCTCTGATCCATTTGAGCTCCAGGTGTCTGCTGGTTGTGAGTTGCACCCTGGGAACACATTAAAAGGCTTCCACGCAGCATTTCAAGGAATAGATGTCCTGACTTTCTAAGGAACTTCTTGGGTGCCAGCCCCAGGTTCCCCACATTGGATAGAGATGGCCGGCAAAGTGCTCAACCAGGACCAAGGGACCAGAGAAACAATGCAGTGGCTTCTCAATGACACCTCAATGTCCCCAGTTTGTCAGAGGCCTCCTTGAGGTAGGACAACCAGAACTAGAGAAGCAAGTTCAGCCCACCTGTCTCAGTCCCTGCTCTCCACTCTGGAGCTCCATCTGGGTTTTTCTATTCCAGGGTTCACATCTCTTTTAGCATCAGCGGAAGAGAGGATGGATAAGGCATGAGGGCATTTATTCATTTCACAGACAATAACTGAGCACCCTTTGGGTTCTATGAATTCAATCAAACACTGGAGTCAAACAGGATCTCTGCTTGAGGAGGAGGATGAGAAGACATTAACAATTAAAGCAATGCATAAAACATGATAGATATGTTACAGTGAAGCACAGGGTGCTATAGACATATAGACAGGAACATTTACAGGAGACTGGTTCAGGGAAGGCTCTCCTGGAGAAGCTAACACAAATGGATTAAAGTTTTGAGAGACTTCATCTCCAGAGGTGGAAATGTGGGATGCATGAGCCTGCTGTGAGGCTTGAACCTCATAGTCATCACTTTACGTGCCCCATTTCCTTATTAGATACAGTGAAGCTGGAGGCCTGTCTGTCCAGTGGCTCCACTTCTGGGCCTAGCTATCTGCTCCTTGTGTGCTATGTCTCAGGATTCTACCCAAAGCCTGTATGGGTGATGTGGATGCAGGGTGAGCAGGAGCAGCTAGACACTTGGCAAGGTGATGTCCTGCTCAGTGCTGACAGGACATGGTATCTCTGAGTAACCCTGGATGTGTTGCCTGGGGAGGCAGCTGGCCTGAATTGCCGAGTGAAGCACAGCAGTGTATGTAGGAGGCCAGGATATCATTCTCTACTGGGATGAGAAAGAACTGGGGCCCAGCTGGGAATGGGAGCGAAGGTCCTGAAGCATAGAAGGAGGGTCTAGGGAAGGGGTGGGAGTAGACAAAAGCAGGATAGAGGAGTTTAGGAGATGAGGGCCCAACCAGGAAGGATAGAGGAGAGGATTCCAGATACAGGAAAGAGGAAAATAAAGATCCAAACTCAAAAAGCATTGAGAATGTTCCATATGCAAGAAAGACAAGACTAAAAAAACTCACAGAGCCAGAAGTACGTGACCAATGAATCCCAAGGGGATTCATTCCTCAGGAAAGGGAACTGGGGGCATTAGAAGGCAGGATAACACAAATGGCTATGGTTAACTGACTGCTTCCTGTTTGTGAGTTGAGCACTCTGCACATGGCATGTCATCTAATCATTGCAACTCTTCTTTGAAGGAAGTACTATTATTTTCACTTTATAGATGAGAAATTGAAGCTTAGCTAGGTCAAGTTGACTGCCCAGAGTCTCATTGTTAGAAAGAGGAAGAGCTGAATTTAGATTGAGGTCTGCCTAGCTGCAGAACTATTGCCCTTCCCTATGTGCTATGCTATATCATATGCTGAAGTGAACTGAATTACAGGTACCCAGACCCTAAGAAAAGCTGGGGCATCTAGACTTCAGGAGAATAGAAGTGGGCACTTTAAATGGGATGTAATTCAGAAGCTCTAGGCCAGAAACCTGCAGTTGAGTCTTTGACAGTCCAAAAAAACCACCAGAAGGGCCAGCAGATACATGCCATTTATTACTCACAATACAAGGAGTCTTCAGCACTTGGTTGTTTGGAGCTGCAGGAAAATGCAACTGGCCAAGAGCAGGCATCGTGTTATATGTGAGCAGAGGGGAGGGTAATTGCTTCATTCCGGGGAACAAGAGTTTTTCTCTGTGGAGGTGTGCTGCCTAGTTAGTGCTGGAGAGGACCAGACCAGCCATGCCCTCAAGCGAAGCAAGGAGATAATGTCCATGGGAACAGCCAAAGGGGCAGATAGTGCCCATGGGAGCAACTGGAAGTGTCCTTGGGGGCAAGCACAGCCTGGGGAATGCTTTTTTCATTGTCCTCTTTGGGGCTGCTGACCCAGCAGTCCTCTTTGCCTCTCGTGTGGTGAAGGGGCTATTTTGAATTAACTCCACAGGGAGGGGAAATAAGCACCTGGCATTCTCACATGTGCTTAGAGAAGGCGAACTGAATTAGGGGGTATTCTGGGCTGAGAGATCACCTGTGTTTCCCCAAGCAGAGGGGAGACATGTATCCATGGGCTTGATTATCATGGCAGTATGGGTGTCACTGGCATCCCTCCTTTCGATAGGTTGAAGCTTGACCTTCTGGTTTAAGAAGTGCAGGTACGTCTTCCTTTTCCATCTCCACCTTTCTTCAGCCGTTCTCCCCATTTCTTCTCCCTTCCATCCCCTCTCCCACTTTTCCTTAATGGTCTCTCCTTTTCTATTCTCTCACAGATCCTATCAAGACATCCTGTGACTATCCTCACCCACCCACTAGAACTCAGGATCTCGAGTTCCCAAGACTTCAGTGCTCAGGAATTGAGGGTTAAAGAGAGGTACCTTGAAAAAGCAGAGAACAATCATAAAGCAGCTCTCTTCACACCTCTTTAATATTTTAGTTAAGAGGATTTAAATTCTTTTTTAGGAGCTGGGTGTAAGGGCGTGTGTGGTTTGAATGCTGGAATCTGCAATGAACTGGAGAACAGTCGCCCTGTCCAAAGGAAGCAGGTCTATCCAGTTGCTTGTTGTCAAATACGCAATAAGAGCTGGCTTGGTTGTAACCTACATTTTTCAAGAAAAGTAGAAGTCTGGACTTTTATGTGAAAGTAAAATTTGACCTAAAATACACTTTTGCTAGCTGACAACAACGTGGGGCCTCCCAGTTTGTGTCTCTTCTATAAAAAGTTTGTCCTAAATGCCATATTGGTAGTTTTAGATTCACAATGGTTTCTATTGTGAATTTGGATTTATAAAGAGGCACATTTTCTCTTTAAAAGAAAGGCTGTAAGAAACAGGTGTCTTAAGCTTTTATTTGGTATAACTTGATTAACAGAAATAATAGTGAGTGTGTATTATGTAGGAAAAAACTACTCTGAGTAGGGATATTTCTCTCAAATGGGAAGTCATTTCATTCAGACTGGAAGAAGATAGTCATGAAGATATCCCCCCAAAATAGGCTCTCTTACTTATAGTTATTACACAAGACAATGCACAGAAAGAACTCACACCTGGGCAGGTGTGAGCTGTAGGGATGCTGGCTCAGCTGTCTTCTCTATTCTTAGCTTAGGAAGGAGAGAGCAGGAAGCTTAGAGGGACAGGAGACCTCCTGATACAGGACATAAGGAGGCCAAGTTAAAATCATCTGTTGGCTATCAGGGATGTAGTCTCTTGGCACCAAAAGCCTTGGGAATGGGGCCCAGTCATCTGTGTTTTAACAAGTTCTCAGGTAATTTTGATATTCAGCTATAGTTAGAGAACCACTGTTCTTTGGCATTATGTAATGTTATGCAATAAATTTCTCAGAATGCTAAGTGAAAATATTGGCTTGGGGTTAGACAGGAAAGGCTTCCTGGAAGGAAGGGAGTTTGAAGCAGAACTTAGAGAGGCAGTAAGGTGAACCAGCAAGTGCACTGGATCAGGATACTGGAGTTCTAGCCTCTGACTCGGGTTCCCTCTTTGCTAAATAGAGATAATAATCTGTCTTGATTACAGATTGAAAATTTGTATCCCCCTTTCTCCCCCCTCCCCCCAATTTACCTGTTGCAAATCTGATGCTCAGGGTGATGGTATTAGGAGGTAAGGCCTTTGGGAAGTGATTAGGTCATGAGGTCTGAGCTCTCATGAAGAGATTTGTGCCCTTATAAAAGAGGCCCCTTCCCCACAACCATGGGAGAACACACTGGAAGGTACCATCTGGGTACCAGAAGGTGGACCTTAGCCAGACACTGAATCTTCTGGTTCCTGATCTTAGACTTTACAGTCTCCAAACTATGATAAATAAATTTCGATTGTTTATAAGCCACCCAGTATTTTGTTATAGCAGCCCAAATGGACAAAGACAAATTTTCTCACAAACTTATTGTGGGGAGCAAATGTGTACAAATGTGTGGCAATCTACAATGCCTTAAAAAATGTGTGGCCTGGTACTGTTTTTCGTACCACACTGCCCTCAGGCAATGCTGTTCAGCTTAGCTTCCTTAAACAGTATCAAATTTGTGAACCGATCCCATTGGCCTTTTACATTCTTAGGGCATGTGTGTTAAAGTTCCTTCTGAAATATTTTTGGAAATCTTCAGCATAAATTTACAGCATTGATTTATTTGGAAAATAAAGGCCTATCTTTCCAAGAATTCTGTTTTCTTCCTTCAAATAGTTCAAATCATCTTAGAAAATTTAGAAAATTCATTTAGAATGTATTAATATTCTCTTGATGAATATTGTGTTTCTTATTGAGTGCTGTGCTGATAGTCACTTTATTGCCACTCAGCTTCAAATTCATCCTTCATTATATCTTTAGTGATAATGAATGGAATTCCTCATCATTTCTCATATACAGTGAGCACACTGTTAAGCTTTTTCAGTAGAGGGCCCTGGAGAGACACTGCAGGAGGAAGGGGTCCTACTGCAGTTTCCAGCTACTGCATGGTGGGTCAGTGGAGTGGGAAGAAGTCATGATGTGGAGTGCTGCCCCAGCTGTATGCCCAGAGCTCATGGATACTTGCTGACCTTGAAGCTTCATCCTAGCAAGGACCTTCCCATGGCCTTCTTGATATGGAAACTGGTGATCTGCAGGCTTCCTGCCCCTCCCAGTGCCCCTCTATAGACCCTCGCCTGGCTTAGTCCACCTGCTGCCTAGAGGTTTCCACTGAGCCTCACTTTCTCTGCCAGCCCCTGCCTAAGGTCTGGGGGGTTACTCCAGCTTGCTCAGTGTCTTCACACCAGTTCTTGCCTGGACAAACTAGAGAACTCTGCTACCCAAGGGGCTAAATTCTACCTTCTGCAATGAGGTCTGCCCTCCAGTCTTGTGGGGAGGGGTTTCCCTTCTAAATTTTTTCTTCTTTGATCTTCCCGCTTCAACCCTAGAGTTCCATGTAGAGTTTTCTTATATCTTATAGTTATTTTCCCATTATAGTTTAATAATTCATCCTTCTCTGTTTAGCTCACCCCGTGATTTTTATTTCCTGATTGGACTTGGGAGGATATGCATAGTGCCTACTTTTGACTATGCATAGGAATCTGTGAACTTTCCAAAGCCCTTATTTGAATCTGTTTTTGCTCATCAGTCTATGGCATAGGGTTCATCCACTTTCATGTGTGGTGTAGCTCTTTTTCCAAGAGCTTAGTTTTGATGTTTTTCTTTGCCCAAGCCATTCTCTGGAGTTGCTACCTGCCTCACTTTTAATGCATCTGCTCCTCTTAGTCACTGGGGCCTCTGTTTAGGGTGTTTAGGGTATAAATGAGAGAAGTGCTGTTAAAAGTTAAGATAGGGCCAGTGAAAACTGGGACTGGCTTAAACTTTCTGTTGATTATTTTCCATTTGTGCTTTGCAGTGGACTTCCCCCTGGGCCTGGCCCCTATTCTCAGGCCACACATATCAACACATCCCTCACTTTCAGCATGGTTCTTGTTCTGAAATCTGACAGTGGGAAGGCTTTACCCTCTTCAACTTCTCTTTATTGTGGCTGAGTCTTGGCAAGACTTGTAGTTTTCTTCTTTTACTGATTTTATTGAACCATCCCAATGGGGGAGCACTTCCCCATTTTTCCTCCTGCTTTTCACTCTGCAGATAACCATCTTTGCTATTTTGTGAAAATTAGGATGATCAAATAATAAATTCTACATCGTTTCTCCTTCATGGCTCAAAGATTGAATTTATGCTCATCTCTACCTTCAGAAGATATTTCTATCTTAGCCAACACAACCTTTCCACCTTTTCATTTGAACTTTTCTGGCATAGTTTTGTAGCTTATACCCACTGTCTCACCAACCACAGTCTCCTTACCTTTGACATCTTAATGTTCCCAGATAGGCCTTGAAGTTTAAAAAAGAAAAGAAAACCAGAAACCAAACAAACAAAAAAAACAACTCCAAACCTTTGCCAGACTATGTTTCCCTTTTGAGGCACAATACTATTTTCCCCCTTCACTGAAAAACTTCTCCCACACCTGATAGGTGCATCGGGTTGCTGCTTCCTCACCATGTACACTCTCCTGTCATATGTTTTCTCCACCCTTGACTCTTCTGTAACTAATTGTTTCTATCTGTTTAAGGCCCTTCTCACCTCTTCCTTACACTGTGGCAGGACTTTTCCTTTATCCAGTCCATCCCACACAACATTTCTGTATTAATCTTCCTAAATACAAATGTCATTTCCTTTCATGACTCTTCCCTGGCTATCATTTGCCTGACTGATAAAGGTCAGGATCCTTAGTAGGCATTTGCAATACTTATGCTCCAGTGACAAGGTATCTTCCACTTTTTGCTACATAGATGCTCCACTTTTTTTTTTTTAATTTTCCTGTTAATCTCCTTGCATTATGGCATCTTACCCTTCTTCAAGATTTAGCTTTAATGAAAACTTGTCTGAATGATCAAGAACTAATATATTTCTGGAGGTTTCTGATAAAGAGTGTGGAGCAGGTAAACACTGTGCTCACTTCCACTCACAACCACATCAGAATTCCAACTAAACCACAGAACAACCATCAGTGAGAAGCACTTGAAGTCTAACTGAAGCACTACAACTAAGGACATAGAAAAGAAGCCACCTTGAGACTGGTAGGAGGGGCAGAGACATGGAAGGGACTGGTTCCACACACACGTGTAGAGGTTAAAAATCAGGAGAGATGTCTCAGCTGTGTAGTTCCCCATGAGGAGTGCAGTGTCCCAGCCCCACAGCAGGCTCCCTAGCCTAAGGTTCCAGTACTGGGAAGAGAAGTCCCATAACTTCTGGCTGTGAAAATCAGGGGAGATTGTGGCTGAGTGAGAGGAGGGTGGCTGGAGTCCCAGGCATTTCTTTTAAAGGGCTCACGCTTGGACTTACTGACAGACCTACTTGCTCTAAGCTCCAGCACTGGGGCAGCAGGTTGAAAGTTGCAGAAACATATGAGGAGGAAATGAGTTGTTGGCTTCATTGCGAGGGCTGGAGGGTCCTCTTTCTCACAGAAGTGCTAGCATAATCTTTTGTTCCTTTATTGAGCCCTCCCCCTTCCTGGTGTACCATATCTGAGTCTCCATCAACCTTGCTAACATGGTTCATCGGCCCTGGTGATTCCCTGAAACCCAGCTCCAGCCAACTTGCACCCAAGACACTTCCAGTGGCTTTTCCATACAAATGGCCTGTCTTGGCTCATGCTGTGTACTTTCCTAAAATCTCTCAAAGCTCTACAAACCACGAACAGGCATCATTTTGCTTGGCATGCCACATACCTCTTGCTAAGCAGGAGGTGCCAAGTATGGCACTAGCAGCAGCCAGTTTGCAGTTTGGTCTCTGAAGGCAAGCTCAGCGGGGTTGGCAGCCATTTGGAACTACTTGGTGATTTTTGCCAGGTGGCCCTGGGCAGAGCACAGGCCGCAGCTGAACTTGTCCAGCAGTAGGGCCCCTCCTAGGAGATTCCGGGCCTGACACACCTGGTGGCCGGCTTCAGACAAAGCCAGAGCACTACCTGGAGCTGCAACCAAGGAATATACACAAAAAGGGCAGACTGGGTCAACACCAAAGCCCTTTTAAATTCTATTGAGACTCGTTTTAGGTCCAGGATATAGTCAGTCAATCTTGGTGAATGTTCCATGTACACTTGAGTAGAATGTGTATTCTGCTGTTCTTGAGCAGTCTAGTCTGAAAATACCAATCAGGTTGTTTGTTGATACCGTTCCTTTTCTTTTCTTTTCTTTCTTTCTTTTTTTTTTTGAGGATTATATTGGCAATTTACTTGTTTTTTATTAAAATTATTGGGGCGACATTGATTAATAAAATCAAATAAATTTCAAGTGTACAGTTCAACAATATGTCATGTATATTGCATTGTGTGTTCACCACCCAAAGTTAGATTTCCTTCCATCTCTGAATATTTGATCCCTTTTACCCCTGTCTACATCCCTCTCCCTGCTTCTCTTTGGTAATCACTAATCCACTGTTTGTCATATTTGTTTGTTGCTTTCAGTTTTATATCCCACGTATGAGTGAAATCATATGGCTTTCAACTTTTTCTGCCTTATTGTGCTTAGCATGATTGTTTCAAGATACATCCATGTTGTTGCAAATGGCAGTTTTTCATCTTATCTTATGGATTAGTAATAGTCCATTGTATTTATTCACCACATCTTCTTTATCCAATTATCTATCTTGGGACACTTTGACTGCTTTCATGTCCTGGCCACTGTGAATAATGCTGCTATGAACATTGAAGGGCATTTATCTTTGCGGGTAAATATTTTTGAGTTTTTGGGTAAATACCCAGAAGAGGGATTGCTGGTTCATATGGTAATTCTATTCTTAATTTTTTGAGGACCCTCCATACTGTTTTCCATAGTGGCTGTAACCAATTTTTTTATGGGGGCAGAGATATCAGGTCTTCTTCTTGCACAGGAAATTTCTAAGTAACTTTAATTCCAAATAATCAATATGCCATTGTAGGATATCTTAGGGTAACTGTCCAGGCCCTGACAATGACAGTAATTTAAATTCACATGAAATAATATGAAACAACATTAAGACAACAGATGGCATATAAATCTGATAATACCCCACATTCTTTACAAAAATTTTGCAAAATTTTTACTCTTGGTCATCACCTCCAAATAATAGCTATTTGTTTTAATATATGGGCTTCCTTTATTACTTGGAAAACTTTCTGATCCTCTAGAGGCTTCAATTTAGGTGTTGTTAGGCAGGATCAAAGCAGACTTTAGTGTAAGGTTAATTTTGACCCAGCACTTTAAGTAACACCCTTCTAAGGACTTCTAAGGACTCTACTTGTAGACTAGAGGAGGACCTTCTGCAGATCCCTGGAGCTTTCTGTGTAGTTGTCTCTTCTCTGGTCCTCTGTCTTGTTACTATAACCACTTGGCCTGTCTGAAACCCTGACTGTACTCTCAACTCAGACTGCCATACTCCACATTATCTTCCTTCCTGGGCTACAGTTTAGAAATTCACTTCAAGCAGTACATTGCGGGGGAAGATAATTGACTCACCTTGTTTATTTCCACTTTCTCAGAGATCACTGACTTGTGCTGTCTGATGTCCAATGTCTGAAAATTGTTTCGTATGGATTGTTATTTATTTATTTTTTAATTGTGTCAAGCCACAGGGTAAATCTGATCTTTGAGAAGAGGTCCAGTCATATGACCT